CATATCTATATATCTGCCACCTGCTTAAAAAAATCAAATTCGACTTGGATTAAGGGAATTATTTATTTGAAAATTATATTAAAGAATGGATGACAAGAGGCTTAAATAAGTTGTAGTTTGAAAGTATTTTGGAGAGGGTTGTCATCTGTTTGAAAACCCAAATTTAAATTATTTATTCGAAAGATATTTGAAAAATTTTTTAACCTTCAGATTGAAAATTTAAAATATTACTGAGGTGTTTTACAAGCGTTGCCACCCGTTTAAAAATTAAATTAGTTTAATTTAAATGAATTACTACAATATGGGTACCAATCGAAAGGTATTTGATAAGGGTTTTAGTTATAAAACACATGTAGGAGGGTTACCACCTATTTGAAAAATCAAATTCTCCTTGAATTAAAGGAATTTGATAATTGAAATATGTTTCACAATATGGACGTCAGACAAGAGGGATTTAATAGGGTTTTAGTAAGAAAATATTTCGAAGAGGATTGAAACCTGTTTTAAAAGTCGAGTTTAAATTATAAATATTCAGCTTGAACATGTAGAGCTTTCTGAGGTTTTGGAGAGGGTTGCCACCTGTTTTAAACATAAATTCAAATAGGCTTTTACTATAAGTTTAATGAGTTATTACAATCTATCTTTTAATCGGAAGAGTCTTGAAAAGGCTTTATTTCTAAGCAACGTAAGTATATCAGGGACTCCACATGTTTGAAAATTCAAATTCAACTTGAATTATGGGAATTAATGGTTTAAAAAGTAAAATTCAAATTATTACAATACGGGTATCAATCGACATGATTTTGAAATGGCTTCATTTCTAAACTACATGTACATAAGTATGAAAAAGTATCACAAGAGAGAGGTTTAAGATAGTTTTAGTTTGAAAATATTTTGAAGATATTTAAAAAATTTTAAGTCTCCTGATTTTCCGAAAATTGAATCGGTAAACGGGTAAAAATCCGCATTTGAGCCAGTTTTCTTTCCATTTTCGGATCCATTTCCACATTTTTTGCTGGCTGGCTGAAATATTAAAGACTATAAACATACACATACATACATATATAGATTGTTAAAGACGAACTAAATTACATTGCAAAAACTGTTGCTACTGTTAAGTGGCTCTTGCCTCTAATCCTTGTCTTATTCATTTCCATCCCTTACTAAAGTAAGCAGTAAGAATTGCTATAGTAAGTCCAAAAGATTAGACATGGATTCGACATGGACTAGAGATATGAGCCACTTAACAGTTGTAACAGCTTTTTTTTTTTTTTGAATTTTTAATTGTGTCGTTATTGCACAGGACCATCGATTTATCTTGTCTTAAATGGCATATGCAAGGATTTTTCATCGTGTAAACATAAATAAAGTTACGAGCAGGTACATGTTTAAAAATATGAAAACCGCGTTTTTTGACCTTTGAGTATGCGTAAATGTTATTTTTATTTATTTCACTACAAATCTCACGATATCATAGATGCCAACGTCTGGTTGACCCTGATTAGTCGTTAAGGTATTTATGAACAAAAGGTTAAAGCGTGTGAATGAATGTGGACAATACTTGTCACTTCACTGCTGTGCGCAAATGTGTGACAAATCAGCCAAATCGTCTGATCGCAATACGAATCATTTGTACCAGGGTTGAATATTCGCATTCGCATTCGCAACCGCAGAGCTTCTGTATTAATTTTAACATTCGCTATCGCATTCACAGTAATCAATGCGGAGCTTTTGCGAATGCGAATGTTGTGCAAGTGCACCGATAAAACGTATATATCAAACAAAATAACAAATTGTAACCAATATTTTTGCCTGTGGTCGTGGGATTATTTCAAATGTCATATTTATCAACTTTGATGAAAATGTCTTTAAACATATTTTTTCTTAAGCTATATAACCGAGCTATCAATGGGCTTTAAATACCTGCATTGATTTATTATAATTTTTTTGGACCAATCTTAAAAAAACTACTAAACACAAAAGAAGAAAGTGTGCACTGTAGTTCTTAACCAAATTTTCGTGATTTGCTTTTGATGTTACATACATTCGTTGCAATTATTTCAAATGGGGCTCTTTGGGGAATTTATTTTTAGCAAAAATTTTAAAACAGTAATTTTGTTTACGTGTCGGGCAATATTTTTTTCATAGGAAAATACATTGGATCCTTGGCTAAAAACTTCTGTGGTAAAACTGTCTCTTTGCTATTTAAAGTCAAAGGGTAAGCTCCTTCAATAGGGATTTCCAGCAGAAATTATCAACGTCTGGCTATAAAGAGAATTGATGCTCAAATAATTAAAAAGCTATAGGTCTGACCTTTAATTAGATAAGAACTACGTTACTATCTCAGTCTCAAATACTTATAAAAAAAACGGGTACTTTTTTTTAAATAACAATATTCTGATCCGATTCTGCTGGCAGTCACCACTTTGAAACAGAATTTTGTTCAAAATTTTCATTCCTGGAAAATAATAATTTATGTTCCATATCCACCTATTTAGCTCGCTATGAGCACAAAATTTTCAAGCCAGTCGCAGAAGAAAGTATTATAAATGAATTACAAAAACTGAAATCGAAAAATTCTGAAACAGCCAAAGGAATGAGAATGAAGAACTCTTTTTAAAAAGCTTTAGAAAAACTTGACACATCTGGTTAGGCTTGTAAGCGCTGTTGAGACAACGATCTCGCCATTATGCTAGATTCTAACTTAAAACTTTCTTAAAAATTAATGACATCCGCATTCGCATCCGCATTTGCGGATGTTAGCTGTTAAATATTCGCATCCACATTCGCATCTGCGGATGTCTAATATTCCACTTTCGCAACATCCCTAATTTGTACATCGATATCCAAATGTGCAAATGTGGACAAATCAAAATTTGGGATTTTGTATACAAATGTACAAATCGTGTGATCCCTGCTTTGTGTTTACTTAGCAAGCTTATAAGCTCATCTCAATTTTAGCTAGGTATGAATAAGCGCTCTGTGTGCGCGTCCCCCCATGTCGAAATGAACTTAAAGGACATTTTTTTAATATAATGACACAATTAATTTTTAATGCCCGACTTTATCATTTGTCATTTTTGCCATTTAATAGTACATTCTCACTGCACTACAATCTGAGATTTCGCGAAATCTTTCCAGTAGGATTTCCCCATATTCTTTCATGATTTCGATTTCTTAGATTTCAATCACATTTCAACGAAATCCCATCGAAAATCTTACTTTTGTAAAGCGAACAAACCTTTAGATCAGACCTGGGCGGCGCCTGCCCGGCGGGCATATTCGCGTATACATACAGGCTCTGCTTTAGAAGGCAGCGAAAGCACGACTTGTTCGCACGCACACAGTGACATCAATTTCTCGCACACTACAAATATTCTCTGTCGAAGCTGCCCACCTCTGCTTTAGATACTAAAAAGTTCAACCCTGCAGACTGCTTCACTTCATAATAGGTTTGTTCGTCGAAAATCCAGCAAGAATTATCCAACACTCAAAATATCAGAGAGTAAGAAAAAGTTCTCTCAAATTCTCTCTCATGTTGAGAAA